CTCCGATGATTCAGTTGCTTTCTCAGGTTTTTCTCCCTATAAATACATATATATACACCCCAAACAATTAAAATGAAAAATAAATAAACAGTCTTCATCACTTATCATCAAATAGGAAACTTGTGGGCTATCTGCTCTTCCAGAATTTTGAGTAAGTCATGCGGCAATATGAATCACGCCATACCCATGCAAGCTAGCTCCCTGTAATTAATTATAGTAATTAATTGGTTAAATTAATTAAAATAACTGACCGGTTTCATGATGACCCTGTGGGTTTCTTCTTGTTTTAGTAAAAGTCATTATATATATATACATCTCTCTAATTCCTCAAGCTTTCTTCTCAATTAAAAGAAATCACACATACACACAGCTTTACTTAATTCCATTGTTGTTTGATAATTAAGAACGTGACAAAATTAGAATTAAAAAAATGTGGAAATCATGAGAGAATGCAAACGCAGCACTGGTTTTCTACCTAATTGAAATTATTTAACTAATTAATGTTGCTAGTGGGACTGGGAAAAGAGGAAGAGGATTTGTGTTTCACCAACTCCTTGAGATAGGTCCTTATCCACACAAAGTCACACTGATAAGTTTCATATCCAAATTTGAATCATACGATAATTAATGCATACATTAATTTAAGTTTCTTTATGGCCACATATGTCCCCACTTGATCCATCGAGGCTCATAAAAATTATCTCTTCCTACTTAGTTTTAGCGTGATCTGCAAAACTCCTCCTTCTCACACACATATTTATGTCATGATTATCTAGAACTCCAATCTTAAGGATCACAAAATAATATATATATATATATATATATATAATGCAGAGGTAATGTTGGAGTATTGCTTTCAAAATGAAAAGATGCTTTTTTTCAAAAAAAAAACAGTGTTCTTATAAATTAAGTATTAAGAATTAATTGCTAAAGAACGTAACATTATTTGAGAAAAGTTGCAACAAACGGTGTAGTAACTATCACTTGGTAGAACGTTACGTTATTTCAAGAAAACTCTGCATACTAGAAAGATGTCATTTCTTATGAAAATGTTATTTTAAATATACTAAGTGATTATCGAATTTATGTTAATTCATGAAATAACATATAATGATAATTTTTTAATTGAAGAGGTATGCTATTTCAATTCAAGAACACCACTTCAAGGCATCACCTCGTTGTCTATAAGATCATCCTCCCCATCCCTCCATTTAAACACAACAACATCAAAACTCACTATATATCTTTCTGTCATCAATTCAATTTGCACCTGACGATTAGAATAGGTAGAGACAAATCAAACTTAAAGAAAAATGCTGTCCAGACCTTAAAGACTTGGCACATACAATTTTCATATGGCGTTTTTAAGGGGCTGAAAAAAGGATACATATATAAGTAAGTCTAATTAACGTAAAATCTCGTAGATCTGCGATCCCTTCAACTTGTGTTTCGTAAAATATTTTGCTTACAATAATTAATATATATAGCTTGTGTTTTTGTCCATTATTGTTCAACTTGCACGATGCGTAGGAACACAAGAAAGTAAGAAAGATAAAGAGATATTATGCTTTCAAATTAGGGGGCATGCACTTGTTTGTTCAATCAAATCCATCTCATGTGTTTTACCAAATACCAAACTTCTCTTGTTAGCTATATAAAAACAAAGCTTAATCAATATATGAACCTATTCGCGTGTGTTGTGCCGTGAAAGTAAGATCAATCATATTGTGGGGTTGGCTTTAATTTTCTTCTTTGTGGGGTTGGTTTTTTTGTCGAGATCTAGCCACCCAAAGAATTAAAATATGTTGTTGTCATTATTACAATTATAACATATTTGATTATTAATTAAAACAAAATCTGACTTCCTCTATAGACTGTCAATTAATTAACTTATAAAGATATGCCGGCCAGTGTATTCAATCCATCTAATTAATTAAAGTCTAAAGGGTCGTTTCGATGCATACTTCTGTTTCTATAATTGACAAAAATGATTAAAAATATATACTCCTCCGGTCCTAATTATAAGACCCAATTGACTTATTTGAGGAGATTAAGGAAGTAAGTTAAGTTGGTTATTTATAATAAATAAGTGTTGTCATTCCTAAAATATCCTTGCTAATTAAGTATATTGGCTAAAACTATCATTATTAGAAGGATTATCTTGAAAAAAAATGCATAAATATAAGAGACAAAATGGATTGGGTCTTATAATTAGGACCAAATAAAAAGTCAAATTGGGTCTTATAATAAGGACCGGAGGAGTATATATATATTATAGATGCCAGTGCAACTGAGCTTGTTAAGTAATCGGCAAACTACTATTAATTAAATGAGGAAACTATGGGTGATTAATTGATGTGCTAAGTTAAACCAGTTCTTAGATTGTAAGAAAGATATACATGGACCAGCGTATTTGCCAGTTGGAGTGAAAAATATGATAACTCAGGAATTGACCAAGCTTTTTAAATAACTGGTTTCTGTTGCGCGCAGCCAATGTAGAAAGTCAATTATAATATTTTGGATATATTGATTACTCAAAGCAACAAAAGATAATTGAGAATTCGTTAGTTAAAAGGTCAATAACAATTGTTCTCACCGAGAGGTTCAATATTTGATGGAGTATTGATGATCATTCTCATAAACTCTTACGTGTCAATTGATAATGGAATAAAAACAAATATGTCTTTTTTTTAATCAATTTTATAGTAAATGTTTTTCTAATATAAAAAATGACAAAATATTAAACTTAAATTAATAAGAAATAATAAATACATTTCTTGGATATAATTCATGGGATATTTTCATCTACAGTTATATTAGTTATATCAATGAAATTATTCTATGGGAAAAATATAAATTGAACTATTGTTCTTGTCATTTTTTACTTTGTTCGCCATAGGATATTCACTGTCGGTAACAGTAAGCCGATGACTAATTTTCTCGTATTATAGACTTCCTGAAAGGATTTTAGTACATAAAATCCTCTTTATGCACACCACCAAGGATTAGATCCTGACTATATATATGTTTAAGAAATCTGACTAGTTAAGTGTCAACTGTGCTAAATCTTGTGATTTTTGTTCTTGTTATGTTCATCAGTGAAATGTTGTTCTTTGTCATTTAAATTGACCTTTTGAATTTTCACAAAACAATTGATTATCCACATAATGATAAAAATTATTATTAAGCCGTGTACAATTTTTAATTCTCCAATTTATGTAGATATTAAAATGATATTTATTAAATTGATTGATAAAGGTTATGACCTTACCATCTAATATGTTAATACGTTTTCGATGCAAAAGGTTTAATATAGAAATTTACGGTTGGCAAAAAGAAAATATAGAAATTTATGAAATTAACTAATTAATGCCATCTTTACACAAAATAACATTCCGAACTATAAATTTCATTTATAGGTTAATTTTAGATTCTTAAAATAAGGGTGATGCTTAATTAAAATTCAGAAAATATTCATTAAAGCATGGTCACATATTTATCAACTGAACCGATATTTATCGGTCTTTTTAATGTAAATATATACCATCTAGTATAAATCATAATCACCCATTAAATAGTTTAGTGCATTAATTTTCTCCACTTCTAGCGTAAATTTATTAATTTAAAATGATAAGATTTACCATTTCAAAAGACCAGATAGAGCATGACATCTTTTTCTAAATTAAAAGCTAAATAATCTTTCAGTCCTAAATATAAAACTCATTTTATAATATAAATTACATTACAAAACAAAGTTTATATTTAAGACTGAAGGAATATAATAAATTAAAAATAATAACTTGTGGCTGAATTCCTCCCACCAAGAGAAATACAATATATGTATACATATACACATACATAAGTATAGTGTAAGATTATAATTATCCAAGTGGCGTGAAATCATTAAGTTAAGTGGACATTTTGAACTTTATATCTTCTATTTAAATGGTCAGTTTAACACTTATCTTTTTAAATAAATGCTTAAATTCAACCTTTATATAATAAAAAAATTATCATCAAAAGAGCTATCATCAAACATGAGGTGTACAATAGAATAATAAAAGGAAAATATACAAAATATACATTTGAATTTTAAAATTTTAAATTAGTTTTATTCGCTACACTTCAATAACAATTAACAACATATGAAAAGCAAATGAATACACATTTTTGTAGTCATGCCTAATTTGTGATTTTGAAATTTTAAAAGTTTTTTTTTTTAATTTTCTCAATAATAAATTTTTATACAATAAATATTAAAAATATTACCTCTAGTCCTAATTATAAGATCTCGACTACAAATAATATCTTATAGTTAGGATAAGAGGTAGTATATAATAAATACTAAAATATCTCTAATTCTCTAAGGAGTAGGCAAGCAATGGCTAAGCATGAAGGGTGGATTAGGTGTTTCAAACATAAGAAAACTACGTTGTTACAAGAAATCAAATCACTAACTCTGAAAAGCTTTCCACGAAGATGAATATTAGAAAGTTTGAAGAGACAATAATGTAACTCAAACCTTGTTAAATCATAGCACCCAAAAAAAAAATTGTAATATGGAGTAGGTTAATCATATATAAAATATGTATATTGTTATAATCAAAATAGCTCTAATCCCCTTACGTATATTTTATACTCAGGCAAGTTATGCACTTCACCTTCACATATTTTGATGAGTTCCCGACCTATTATTTATGATACTGAAATTAATACTATAACCAAGTAATAGGTTGAATAAAATACAATTAATAATGCAAATATGATCAAGAACTTCTAATCATAAGAATACTATTTTAAAATATGATCATTAATATTTTAAACCATTATTACTATAGGAATTGAATTTTGTCCAATTAAATAAAATCACATTAACAAGTCACTAATTATTCAATTAATTATTAAACTTTTTTATAAAACATGGGCCCACCCTTGCACAGTAGCTTTTGCAGTTGTCTCACTACATATAAGGGTGGCTCCCCTGTTTCTCTTTGTTTCGCCCTGCCTGGCTCCCTCCGCTCCCCTGGAAACCATTAGCCAATCATTTATTCTCCTTCTCGTGGATGCGCCAATATGAGAAGACCTCTCAAACATTCACCTAAACACTTCCATAAACATGATTTCTTCGATGCCTTACCAGACGACCTCGTCCTCTTCATTCTCTCAAAGCTCAGCCACACTGCTTCTTCTCCTTCTCAGTTTATTACTGTTCTGTTAACGTAAATTCCACTGTTCCAACATTCATGAAAGTTCTAACTTTTTTGTTTTGGGTTTTCATGCTTAATGGAACATAATGGATTTTCGTCTTTTCCAGATGCAAGAGACTGAACCAACTGGGTTTGAATCGACTGGTATTATCCAGAGCCGGCGAAAAAATATTTGCGGTGAAAGCCAAAAGCTGGTCTGAAGATGCCCATCGGTTTCTCCGGCGATGTGTTAGTGCTGGCAACGTCCATGCTTCATATACTCTCGGAATGGTCAGTGTGTATCATCAATCATATCCAGCCGGAGAAGGAGAAAGAGATTTACTGAATTATTTCTTGTAATTTGTTTGTTGCAGATCCGGTTTTACTGTTTAGAAAATCGAGATAGCGGGTTTAAGCTTATCGCACAAGCGGCTACGAGATCTCACGCGCCGGCGTTGTACTCACTCGCGGTTATACAGTTCAACGGAAGCGGTGGATCCAAAAGCGACAAGGATCTCAAAGCCGGCGTAGCTCTGTGTGCCCGAGCGTCTCTTCTCGGCCATATCGACGCTCTTCGCGAACTAGGCCATTGCCTTCAAGACGGGTATGGGGTCACTCGGAACATCGCGGAGGGACGGCGCTTACTCATCCAAGCTAACGCGCGTGAGCTCGCTTTCGTCTTACGTTCCGTTTCCAAATCATTTCCCTCCCGGCTCCGCTCCTCCCTGCTGAAGGGGCGCCTCCACCCGCAGCTTGGGAACAACGCATGCCGAATGGAGTGGACTTATCCGTTGCTTAGTGATTACGGGTATAACGTCGCGGTGCCGGAGGTGCATCCGGCGAACAGATTCCTGAGGGATTGGTTCGAGTCGGGTCGTGGGGTGTTAGGGGAGGAGCTGAGACTGTGCGCGCACATTGGGTGTGGGCGGCCGGAGACACGGCCACACGAGTTCCGGCGATGCTCCGTTTGCGGGAAGGTGAACTATTGCTCGCGTGGGTGCCAAGCGCTAGATTGGAAGTTACGACACAAGGTGGAATGCTCGCCGGTTGACGCGTGGGTGGGGGAGAACGTCGGTGTCGGTGGTGGTGACGCTGTTAGAGGAGGAAATGGCGAAGGTGGTGCTGACGTGGTACATAACGGGGTGGCTCAGAACATGGAGGCTAGATGAAGAAGTAGATTTTAGCTTTTCTTTTTAATTAATTTATTTTTATGGTGTTTCAGTGTACAGACGGAGGAAGAAATTATTTCTTTTGGGAGCAACTCAATCACAGCTCCTTTTTGGCCAAAAAAAAAAAGTCTACAAAATCGAAAAAAGTGACTTTAGGTGTTAATACTCCTGCATATTTAAATATAATATCTGTCTATTTTAAATATAAAATATATTTTATAATATAAATTACACTATAAAATAAGTGTTATATATATTTTATAGATATTATACTTATAAATTTTATATTTAAAATTAAAGTAAAAGATGGGGTGTGGAGTACGACCTTGGCCTTGTTTTCATTTCTTGGGGAAGGGAAGGCACGTTGACGTTGAGATACATGCACCGATATTAAGGCCGTTGATTCGCCCCACCTGGTCAGTGGGAAATGCCAAATATGGAATAGTGTTACAAAGAAATGGTGATTTCTCCAGAAAATGCGGCTTGCAAATTTTTTGGTTCATGTTTCCAATAAACAAAGATAAAATTATAAATTAAAGAGTTAATAATAATTTACTCTCTTTTAGTTTTATCCCTGTTTAATGTTGGATCACAAGAAAGAAGAAGGGTGAGTCAGATTAGAGGGTCAAAGTTAAAAAAAAAAAAAATTCAAGTGACATTTTGGTCTGGATATTTAAGGTGAGAAATTTTTTCATATTTAATATGACGGCTGATAACGAATATATTGCCGATCTTTATTGATCTAAGGAAAAAAGCTAGATTTTTTTTAATTAAATTTTCAAATTTTTTTTAAAAATAGATGTAAATATATTAATTTGGTGGAATTAGTTAGAACTTGACAAGATTTTAAAAAGACTTAGGATGCCATCGAGAACTCCACAGGTAACAAATAGTACTCATCTAGTTTTTAATATAAGATCTATTTAATTAATTTGATTAGATTAAGAAAGTTAAATAAGTTAGTTAATTATAAAAAATATGACATATTTTTTTAAAAATACCATAATCATCTTTCTTAATATCTTTCCTCTCCTACTTACTTGATTATGGTTGATGGAGTATCTATAGAGGTAATTTATACAAAAATTGATAAATATAATAAATAGGTCTTATATTTATGACCAAAATTAACTTAATAATTATGTCTTATATTAAGGACCGAAAGAGTATTATTGTTTGAGAGTTATTACAAATAAAATAATGGAATGAATTATAAACTAGTCGTTCTAATATTACTCTTAAGAGTTAAGATCTTTTTTTTTTTTGGACGGGAGTTAAGATTTAATTTAGATAGAAAGGTGCCGATAAAATTTTATTATTATAGTTTTCTCAGTCTAATCATAACTTAGATTAGGAATAGCATTTCATGTAAATTTTATCCATAAATTAGATTAGAAATAACATGTAATTTTTATCCCAATTATTTTACATTTTAACTTTTATAGTACTTATTATATCCATGAACTCGGTGTTGCATGCCTGCTTTGTTAAACATATTTATTCAAAATCCAATTTTCATAGCATATTGTAAATATATTCAATTTCACGCACATTTCATATTTACATTTTAGAAAAATTAATCTTTTAGTCCTTTAACTTTTAATTTAATTATAACCTTCCAATATGATTTGACTTTTCGCTCGTTTACGTGGAGAAGGAAAAGAAACGAAATGTAAATAAGAAGTGAATGAATGTTACGGGTAGAAGAAGAATAGTCTATACTAACTTTTATGTTTAATATAAGAATTAGTTTGATACTCAATTTAATTTTAAATATAAAATTTTAATCTATTATATCTGTCATATTTATCTATTTTTTTAAAGATAATCCTTATAGTAACTGTATATGCTAAATGTTTTTTGTCAAATGATAATTTTAGTTAATACATATAACTAGCAATGATATTTTAGGAAAGACAACACATGTTTATTAGAAATAAATAATTTAACTAATTTTTTTAATTTATTTAAATTAATTAACTAATTCTTAAGGATCAGAGTTAATATATGGGTAAGAAAATTAGGATAAAGGGGAGAAAAGGACGTGGGAAAGTGAAAGGAAAGGAAATGCTGGGAGAAATAGAGGGAAAGATTTGGGAATTAATCAGTGAAAAAGGAGGCTCTGCTTTTCGTGTTTCTTGGAATCCAAATTGAGTGGAGACTTTAATACATACTATCACTCTCGCCCACGAATTGTGCCCTAAGTTATTCATCTTGTCCCTCTTCCTCCCTCTTTCTTTCTTTTTCACTTTACTTCTTTCTTTCATTATTCATTAAACCACACCTTTTATTTCTCCTCCACACACACAACATTAAATGTATTTTTACATAATTTAATACGCGTTTCTACGTTTGATTATTGAGTTTGATTTATTTATTACTTTGTCTATCAATTAGCCTAATTTTTGGTGTTTCCCTTTAAAGATGAACACGATCAGTAACAATCTTTTTTTTTTCTTTTCCTTTGGGTAGAATCAATTAGTTTTTTTTTTTAGATCGGAATTGATAGTTGTATTATAGTTATTAAAAAAAATAGTTGTATTCCACTAGGATTTGGATCACCCCATCACTTTAGCTAAACGTGTCAATTACTCAATTATCAAATGAGATGACATATAAAAAATATAAACAAGAGGTATAAAAACATCAATGTTTAGGGAAAAGAGACGAGGAGTTATTTTATGCTCAGGACGAAATATGTTTTGTGAAAAAAGTTAATTTGATCATTAAAAAAGATTAATATAATTTTTGGTCTCTCAAATTTATTCTTATTTTGATTTTGGTCTCTCAGATTTTAAATCATAGGTTATGATCCATCGAGTTTCTTTTTATTTAAAATATTAGTTCCTATAATTTAATAAAAATTAGACCATTTTACCCTTAAAGAACCAAATCCCATTATTTAAAACTTGAGGAATTAAAATCAAAATAAAGATAAACTTAAGCGACCAAAGGATTATATTGACCCTTAAAAATAAATAACAAGATACGATGTTAATGAACTATCATAATTTTATTTCTTAAACTTTTTATATTTTACACATACATCCATACATACATATATTAGGCTCAAATTTTATACCTTGTTTAAGAAATATGGGATTTTTCTCTATTCAATCCCATTTTGATTCGCGGTGTTTAAATGAATTTTAAAAATAAACAGCGTGAAAACATGAGCAGCAGAGATATCTTTTTTTTAAAAAAAAAAAAGTCAGGAAGTTGAAAAGTGGGCTTGGTGGAGCATTATTAGTGGGTTGAAAAAGCCCATTGGGGGGCTTCCGACCATTTTCAAAGGAGAAATGTCACGGAACTGAACAACGTGGCCGCCGCATATCGCGGAATGTCATGAATCTGTTTGTGAAAAATCACATTTGAGACTAATGACATTAAAATTAAAAAGTTAAAAGGATGTGTTTAAAAAAAAATTAATAAATCAAAGTACTCCTCCGGTCCTTAATATAGGATCCAATTGTTGAGTTGGTTTTAGTCATAAATATAAAACTCATTTCTCATATTTATAAATTTTCTCTAAATTACCCCTGTAGATACTTCCTCAATCATAATCAAATAGAAGAGGGAGAGAGGTATTAAGAAAGATGATTATGGTGTTTTAGAAAAAATGTGTCGCATTTTTTATAATTAACTAACTTACTTAACTTCCTTAATCTAATTATATTAGTTAAATGAGTCTTATATTAAGGATCGGGGGAGTATATAAAATTAGAGGACTAATAGTTTAATGCGAAGAAGGAGACAATGAGGGAGATTGGTTTAGGGGTAAACTGGTCATATATTTTGGCTTTCATAGAGTGTTTTTGAATTCCGCTTGTTTGCATTTTGATGGAGTTGGCTTTCAGCCTTTCAACTGTGCGCGTGTGTTTTTAATTAAAACAACAAAGGGTTACAGTGTAAATTTATTTAAGAAGTTTTCATTTAGGAGCGCTGGGTATTTAAAAATTTTTTTAAAAACAAATTACCCTGAGAGTTTAAAATCATCGTAATATTGGCCCTGCCATAAAAAATGTTGATGGTCAACATTATGTATTTTCAAGGTAAATTTAAATTTTCAGGATAAATTTGTTCTAAAAATTTTTTTTTGATACCCAGAGTTCTTAGGTGAAAACATTCAAAACAAATTTACATTTTAACCCAAAAATAAATATTAATAATATGATATCGCAAGCAAGAATGAACCTATAACTTTTTCACTCATGGAGAAGCTTTCATGCTATTAAACTACATCACTAGCAAAGAACTGTGCTTAATTTCTAACCCATGAAATAAGTAATCCCTTGACTTCCAATTTCTTGTAGTCGAAGGATACCTAAGAAGGCATGACTTCATGTTTTTGACTTTGTTGAATGGTTGAGCTTAGCACGGTGGGCATTGATGAAGACTCCCACTAATTAAATTCTAAAGTGGCATCATTCATTTGAGCCCAGCCCCAATAATAGAATTTCACTGGGGAGTGAAGGATGCCATGATTGAGATCCAAGATCATCACAAGGATTGCCTAATTTCCATCTCAAATGATGAGCAACTCAGACATGAAATAAGACACTTTCTCGGAAGGAACGATGATTCTAAGTTCACCTTTACCCTTAATATTATTGGCAAAAGGAGACCAACACAATGAGTGCCCTCTTATTAAATCAATCCCATCCAACCCAGAATTGCGTGGGATTGTTGTGTCATAATCAATATTAAGTTAATTAGTGTTCATTCACTATTAATTAAATGAATTTTGTGCCATAACAACTAGCTTTACAAATTTATAATACGTGTGTTTGTAACCAAAAAAAAAATTTTAAGTGAAAAGTATTTGATAGTATAATTTTGAAGTGAGGAAATAAGTAAATTTTGTATACATCACTCTTGAATCAAAGTTACTTTCACATTATTTAGTTAAAACTATATTTTGAGCAGAACCAACACATTGGATATCTGACAATAAACGCACAAGAGACTAGACAACATTGCATTATCAATCAAATAATTTATTTACTTTGATTAATGTACTAAAATGAGATAAATTTTACATCAAGCATGATACTCCTCCCATCCTTAATATATGATATAATTGTTGACTTAATTTTGATTCTAAATGGAAGATTTATTTATCATATTTATCAGTTTTTTCCCTAAATTATTGTTATCGATATTATCTCAACCATAATTAAGTATGAAAGGGATAGAGAATATTAAAAAAGATAACTATAGTATTTAAAAAATAGGTAAATTATTTTTTAAATCTAATCAAATTAGATAAATAAATTTTATATTAAGAAAAATATGAGTACCACCGTTGAATTAAACTAAAACCATGTAAATTGGCAATCTTATCTCTCACAAAATAAGAGGCTGCGGTGCCCTCAACGCGCGATAGCCTACCCGCCACTTTCCACCGTTAACCTCATCTCTTCTCATCAAACCCCTCCATCACCAGTCACCCTCACTCCACTCTCTCTCAGCTCCGAATCAATGGCGTCTCTACGCCAGACCCCAACCTCACTCCAATCCAATTACTCTCCACTCCCCAGAAACTTCGTCTCCTCGAAACCCCTCCTCAACCTCTCGTTCTCCGCCTCTAACGTTCCTTCTTCTCTCCAACTCAACTTCGCCGCCGCCGTCGCCGCCACTGGCCGCCGCTCCCATGGCGGCGTTCTCGGAGCTAAGATGGTTTCTAGCGCCGCCGCCAGCTACGCCCTCGCCCTCGCCGACGTTGCCAAGGCCAACAACACCCTTGACTCTACAACTGCCGATATCGAGAAAATCGAGGAAATCTTCGCGGACCCTGGGGTATTCTCCTTTTTCAACAACCCTACCATAGAGACAGAGAAGAAGAAAAAGGTCGTGGAGGAAATCGCTACTTCCTCCAGCTTGCAGCCTCACACTCAGAATTTCCTCAACATTCTGGTGGACGCGAAGAGGATCGATCTGATCAAGGATATAGCGAGGGAGTACGAATTTGTGTACAACGATTTGACGGACACGGAGCTCGCGATCGTGAGCTCGGTGGTGAAGCTGGAATCGCAGCACTTGGCTCAGATAGCGAAGCAGGTTCAGAAGCTGACAGGTGCAAAAAATGTGAGAATTAAGACCTTGATTGATCCAAGTTTGGTGGCTGGATTCACAATCAGGTATGGGAATTCAGGATCTAAGTTGATTGACATGAGTGTGAAGAAGCAACTTGAAGAAATTGCTGCTCAGCTCGATTTGGGCGATATCACGCTCAATGTATGATGAGCTTTTCTTGGTGGAAAAAGTTCCATCGTGAATAGTTCGATTCAATTTTCGCTGCTTTAATAAACTGTCAAGGGTGTAAAAGATTCTTGCGGTAGCATACATATATCCGTGTGTGTGTGTGATTTTAATCTTTGGTGAGTTTGAATTTGGAATTGGAATTGGAGTGTGGTGACTCGTGAGAGCAATTTTTGTGTTTCGACTCTTGGACACAGATGGTTCTGCAAAAATTCTTCAGAAAGTGAACAGAAAACATGATTCTTCAAAGCAAGCTTTTAATCTATGTTTACAATTTTGGGTGAACTCTGCTCGAATCCTCACAGGGCAGAAAACGCTGAGGATCAAAGAGCTGATGGATAATTAGATGAATATCAGTGAATTGCTAGGGTGCTTTGAGGATTCAGTTCGAATTGACATGTCATGCTATGTTCTTCTGTTCTCCGAAATTCCTACAGAAGGTTGACCGCCTGCGAATTCCCACGGAGTGGAGCTCTGATTTGTAATATACTCGTAGTATTGATAGCAAATCACATTGATATAATTTACCGCAAAATCTTACAGAAGAGCTAATCTTATCGGGTCTAATTAGTGATATATTAAATCTATATTTCAATCCCCTAACCATAACATCATTAACATGGTTAATCTCAAATGATGTTTCTTCTCGATCATTGTTATTTTTAAAAATTTAACTTAATATATTAGTATTTAAGAATTTGTTGTAAATACTTATGAATTTTAATATCAGTTTTTTTTTGGTAATAGCATTAGGCTTAGAAAATTTTAAAAAAATTATAAAATTGAGATATTAAAATAAAATTTTATGAGAAATTAAAAAAGTTAGAGATGTATTTTTGCTTATCAATTCATAGTCCATGTCTTCATAAGTCATAAGTCTCGAGGGTCTGCTTAGTACGAGAAAAATAGCAAAAAAATTAAAATTTTTTAAAATAAATTTTATTTACAAAATTAAAGAAGTGAGGTTTTAAAATTTTAATAGGAAGAAGTTGTAAGATAGAAGAATAATAAAAAATAATTAAAAACTTTTAATTCTGTTTTTTAATTTTTTAAATCTAACCTACTAAAAAAATTTTTTCCCTCCTTCCTGATAAGAAAGCTACTATTCAATTAATCGCACTCCCCCTTACTTCAAAAAACAAATACAATGTACATGTGAATTTTTTTGTTGTAGACATAAGTATCTTCCTATTAGAGGTAATTATATTCGAGGTACTATCAAGTGCTAAATATGAGTATTTCTCTCAATGAAGATTTAAATTTTAGTTTACCATATTATTAAAGACTAGTTGCTTTAACTAAATCTGTACATGTTAATTTTTATTTCTAATCAAGTGGGTTAAGGCTGGTCACACCGTCCATTATCGGTCTTCTCCCAAGCCCAAACTCGTAACTAGCGCGTATGAGTCCGTATGGCCATGCCCCTTTGAGTCCAGTGGGGGTGGGGGGGGGGGGAACCTCTTAGACATGAAGTTTTAGCGTCAAATCCAAATGAATATACTACTTCCGATCCTAATTATAAGAGCCAATTGATTAATTTAAGGAGATTAAAGAAGTAAGTTGAGTTAGTTATTTGCCCTAAATAGGTGTTGTATTTCCTAAAATATCCTTGCTAATCAAGTGTATTGACTAGAATTCTTATTATTAGAAGGGTTACTTTGGAAAAAAATATATAAATATGAGAGATAAAGTATATTGGGGTCTTATATTTAAGACCAAAATAAAAGTCAAATAGGGTCTTATATTAAGGACCGGAGGTAGTATATAATAAAAAAAATTCTTCTTTAAGATAACTATTTTTAATTGATTTTGACAATATTCGGATTTACTCTATGGAAAAAAAAGACTTGAACAACAAAACTTACATTTTAAAAAAGGGAAGAAAAATGCTTTCTTAGTATCAATGAAAGGATACTGGATACACTATAAATAAAATTAGAATATAAAAAATGCCAGTATCCAAGTTTTGATGATGACAAAGAAAATTAAATTTTTTTTTAGACAATTCCATTTTAAATCTTTCTTGTTGATAAGATTATTGATAATTTTCTTTATTGATAAGTTGTTCGATAAATTTGGTTTCATTTCTTGAAACAAGTCTTTTCATTAAATAGTTTTTGAGTGATTATTATTGATAATTTTGTTTATAAAAAAGGTTATCAATAACCAGCTTGAATTAAAGTATAAAACTGAGTTTCTAATAATCTTTTGTTGATAAGATTATCGATCATCCTGTTTATTGATAAGTTTTTTAATAACCTACTTAACTTGGATTATGAAATAGTTTTTTCTTATAATATTTATCCATAAGATTATTGATAAATGCTTTTATCGATAAGAATATTGATAAATTCGTAACCTTTACAAGTTTTAGTCTTTTAGTTTATCGATAAGTTTAGCAATAACTCTTTTCTTGATTCCTTTAAGGCACTTATGGATTAAGTTTTCAGTAGAAGTGTTTATGAACTTAGATTTTACCCACTTTAGTTTTCCTGTCTTTCGTATTTTATTGATAAGATGATCGGTAAGAGTTATCATCGATAAAATTCAAGTTTACTTCTTATTCTTTTTTCACCTTTTTGAACAATTATCTGTAATACATGACATAATTAATCATATATGATTAATAAAAATCTGATTATACGTGTGTATATATATATATATCTGTGTGTGGATATCACGGATTTTTACATCCAAATCAAAAGTATTCTAAAATTTTAACTCAGCAAGAGTCTATAAAATTGATACGTATTTTAATAGTTATAACTCAAAAGTATTCCAAAATTTTAAGACCACCATCTAAACTAAAATTATATAAACATATTAACTCTAATAGATCTAGCTATTTATAATAGATACAATATTATTTGTGAATAAAATTTTTTCATATAATACAACATTTAAACTTAAATAGATAAATTTATTTATTACCCAAAATTTAAATATTTTACATTAAAATCCCAATTATTTATTGTAGTATCATTTAAAATTTTTCCTCAACCCAAACAACTCCTTCAAATTATAAATAAATTTTAGTTTTATTTAACTTCGTAAAACTCAATTTATAATTTAAGTTTCAAGCTAAAAAAATTTCAATAATATATCTTTAACGTATTTAATATTACAATTGAAACTTCAATAATATATTAAATAACCTAGATAAATTATTTAACTTAAATTTAATCCTTATAAACATTTTATATGTCTTTAATAACAAAATTTTCAACTAAAATCTTAATTTAAAATTCTCAAAATAACCAATGAACAGATATAAATTGATTAAAATTCATTAATTATGTATCTTTAAATTTCTATAGTTATTTATTGTCAAAACTCTCTACTTTCTCTATACTCAAACTGCAAAATTTTCTCTAAACATTATAATAATACTATCGGTATAAAGCTCTAAATATATAGAAAATATTCATAAAGAAAATTTAATAAAAATAAGTATTTTTGTATATTTAAATGATACTCCCTCATGTTCAAAATATAAGCTGAGGTTAGTTCATTTACGTTTATCAAGAAATGAAATAAAAGTAGTTTAAAATAACAAATGTGTATGGAATATATATATTTTTTAAATATGCCCTTATTTATTGAAGCTTCTTTCTTCTATTCACTTTGTTTAAAATACTTTTCTCTTTTCCCATGTCTTGTAAACCAGTCACTTTTTGTAATTAATGCCATCAATAACCAAAAAAATTAAATGCATATGTTAGGGATAAAATTGAAAAATACTCTAAGAAATCGGAGAGATGATTGGGAGGGCCCTGAAGAAAGGAGAGAATTTGGGAGTTGGTTTGGAAGTGGAAGGGCCCTGAACGCATTAGAAATTTTCTATGGCTTGCGGGAAATGATAAGTTGCCGACCAATGCTCTAAGAAATCGCCGATGGGGAGCAGAAGGGAATTGTCAGTTTTGTGGGCAATGGGAGAGTTCTCTACATGTACTGAGGGACTGCCAAGTAGCTAAGAAGATTTGGAAGGAAGTTGGAGATAATCAAATGCAAAGAAACAGCCAGAACATCAAAGTATGGTTGCTAGAGAATTTAAATAAAAGCAAAGAGATCAAAGGTTTACCTTGGAATATACTCTTTGGAGTAACGTGTTGGTCCTTATGGAAGATGAGAAACATGAAGATCTTCAATCCCCAAGGAATTCGTGATCTTGCTGACAGGCAGGTGTGGTTAATCCTGAATTTTGTGGGCAAATTGCCTCTGCCAAGGGGTTGGGGACGAACATTGAGGTGGAAGAGGAAGATGATAGTGGTGAGGAGCAAAGATGGGAGGTACCAGATGAAGGCTGGACCAAGCTAAACACTGATGGAGCATGTAGAGGGGAGCAAGGAATTGCTGGTTGTGGAGGAGTGTTGAGAGACTCCGAAGGAAGGTGGATTGCTGGTTTCTCTGCTCGAATTGGAAGTTCTACGGCAGAAGAGGCGGAAAGTTGGGGAATTCGAAGAGGTCTGGAGTTGGCTTGGAATCTCGGGTTGAGAAAGATCCAGATTGAAACAGATGCGTATGAAGTGGTAAGAAAACTGAAAGGAAAGATGAAAGAAGGAATCTTTATAAACCAGTTGTGGGCTCAAATTTATGAGTTGATGAACAGAAGATGGGAAGTTAAAGTTTACTGGATAAGGCGATCTGCGAACACTTGTGCAGATGTCTTGGCTAAGTTAAGCTTTGGAATCAATGAGGAAGTGCAGATCTAGAGAGAAGTTCCTCTGCAAGCCTTTGAAACTTGGGAGACGGATAGGTTGCGAGGTGGAAGAGTTCGGCTTGATGAAAGTGTTGCAGAGGGAAGTGCTGATGCTGGATAGTGAGATGTTGTTTTAATGGGTGTGGGCCCTCGTTTTCTACCAAAAAAAAAATTGAAAAATACTCATTAAATGGTTAGAAAAATTTGAAATATTATCTTATAAAAAAAAAAAAAACCAAGCCCATCAACCAAATATTAGCTTATATTTCAAACCGGAGGGAGTATTTAAGTATTGTCTTATCTTTTAAACACTAGGCACCTTGCAACTCAGCCTTTTGCTCGTTCTCTCTTGCTCTGCCTCACTCTCTCTTTCTCTTTCTCTTCTCTTGGGAGAATACTTGGTTGTGAGGGAATATTTAATACCTTTACATTTAATTCTTATCCTCAAATTTCTTCACCCTATCAACTCTATCTCCCTCCTTAAATGACCTCCTCCCTCGTTTTTCCCTTCTTAATTAATAATCTCAAATTAACTTATAAAATTTTGCAGTAGGAGCTAACTATCACTGGCCATTGGAAGAAGGTCTACAAAAACTTCAAATTCTGAAAAAGGTTAAATTCTTCTTCTGGCAAGTTATCTATGAGAGACTCCCAACAAATTTCCTCAGAGCTCACAAAGGAGTAGAGATCAATGACGAATGCCCTTTTGAGTGCCAAAAAGAAGAGAGTATTTTACATATTCTACGTGATTGTGAGATGGCTCGAAATGTGTGGGTCAAGGTTGTTTTGATTTGCAGGTGTGGATAAAATTTAATTTCAGCAAGGAACTGGCAAAGGAGGGATTCAATAGATGGCCATGGAGGAGAGTCTTTTGTTACCTATGTTGGTTACTTTGGAAGAATGGGTGCAGTGGAGTCACGTACGGAACCAGAATTCAAGTTGCAAGTATCACCCATGCTCGCTTATACCACATGATGGAATCCTCGGAGGGTAGCAAATGCAAACACCAGATTTTTAGAAGCATAATTGGAACGAATGACACTTGGGAACCACCTAAGGAAGAATATGTTAGACTTGATGTAGATGGATTTGTCATCATTGGACAACAAGCTGTGTGTGGAGGCTTAATTAGAGATTCACAAGGTCATTGGATTGGAGGCTTCCAAAGAAAACTTCATCACATTCCTTCGACAGCCGCGGAGGTATGGGCGATACTAACAGGATTGGAGGTATGTAGACAGTATGGTATCCCCAAGGTTAAAGTGTACTTTGACTTGCTAGAGGCAATTTATCTCATCATGAACGACTGTGGTAACTATAACTTCCTGGGGCCAAAAATTAATTTAATCAGAAGTATGATTTATTCAGATTGGGAGGTTGAGATCCACCATGCTTCGAGAGAGTCCATGAAATGCGCTGATTATCTGGCAAAGGAGGTTCATCATTTGGAGGAAGACTTCAAGGTCTTGTAGCAACCACCAGTGGGCTGCGTTCCATTCTTGACTTTAGATTCTATGTAGACATAGGATTCTAAATGCCTGTTTTGTTGCAAACTCAAGACTTTGTCTTGCCCAAAAAAAAAACCTCTAGCTTTTTCACTGAATTCATGGGAAAGCTGGTTCTTTTTTTTTTTTTTAATTTAAAAATTTAACTTAACTTAAATAATATTTTTTAATAATAATTTTTTATTTTATTTTATTTTATTTAGAAATAATATTTTCTAAGAATTCTCCTTTTTTATATTATTATTTTTAATAATTTTTTATATCAAAAATAAAAATCAGGCTGTTACATTATCGATAAGATTATTAATATTAGTAATTATCGAGTTTCTTATCAATAAACATACTTTCAATTCAATAATAATCCCTGAGCTAACTAAGGTTTACAATAAGAGGAGAGTAACAAGCAGGTTGGGTAGTCCGAGACTTAACCCATAGCCTATCCATTTAATGTTACATGGGTACGGGCTAGCCTGTACCAGTAATCAACTCGTTTAAATCCGTTATAAACTGGTTAGGGATAAATGGGTGGGTTATATGAGTTATGAACTAACCCGCTTATTTATTATTATTATTTTTATTGAGAACTGAAAACTGCATTAAAAATTCAAGCTTATACAACTTAAAAACAAAAGACCATCTAAACCTTCATCAAAGATTCACCCAAACTCAAAAGATAGAGGTTGATCAAGGATACAAAAAAAAATTATAGAAAAATTCATAGCTATAAAGGCAGAATAATTTGTCAAAATTCCTTTTGATAGGAATTTTTTTTTTAAAAAAAGAGGAGGCAATTAATTGGAAAAAAATGAAAAATGTAAACTTGGAGGAGCACATAGGAATCGAACTAGTGTTAGTAGTTTCAAAACCCAACTTGTTTGCCATTTCACCAAGTGGGAGGAACACACAATGGGAGGAAACATTATTATTTTGTGAACAAAAAACATATTTTTTTTAAAAAAATAAAAGTGTATATAAGCCGGCACGTGCAGCCTGGGGGTGTACCCATAACCCACCCGTATAATGAGTAAGCCCACCCGTTATAGGCTGTTTTTGGGCAGGTTTAAATGGGCAAATTTCTATCAAGTTTGGGCGGCTTTAACGGGTTACGGGCTACTTGCTCAGCCTAGTTTATGTGTTTGAACTTTATTTTTTGTTCATCATTTAACTATTCTTACTACTCTTGTTTACTAATGACAAGTTTGAGCAAACTTAATACAGGAACAAATGCCCCAGCCGGAAAAATAATTTATCAAGCTACTTTTGTTAGAAACATTAAATGCTCTTCAATTATTACAAGCTACTAATGTTCTCAATCGGATTTTACAACGATAACATTGCTTTAAGTCTAATAGATAGTTAATGAGGATCAACTATAAATAGGCGAAGCATTCAATGGAGCAACGAACAAGAGAAGAGAATGAACAATTATGCTGTCGAATTTATTTTGTTTTATTAAGCTCATCAATTGTACTTTAGTGTTTATTTATTACTTTGTGAGAGAAATATACTTAAACATTTATTACTCCTTTGAAAATTACTTAAACTTGTGGAAATCTTGAGTGGGTTGTAATTTTACGGGAAGTAAAAAGAAATGATTAAGAGTGATCAATTACTATACTGTGGCGCCAAGAGCCTATTTATAAATCTTGGAGTATAGTTGAACTCTTAAAGAGCTTATAAAGACTGAGTGTAGGTCAAGTGGTTAAGAACGAACCAGTATAAATTACTATGTGCATCTTGATTTATCTTCTAGCTTAGTGGTATCCTTCTAACTCAATCTCCTTTAGTTCACTATTAGTGTTTTTAAGTTTAAAAATTTTATTTTCACCCAATTCATCTCTCTCTTAGTGTACTCTTATTCTAACAAAAAAAAGATAATATTAGAATGTTAAATATGCTATAAATAAGATTATAGTGGTGGATGCTAATTTGTTCAAGATACTTTGTATTGTCTATTTTAATTAAGTATAGACTAAATTATATTTTTAGTCCTTTAACTTTACACAAAATTTTATTTTGGTCCCTTAATTTTTAAAAAGTAAACTTTTAGTCCTCAAACCCTAAAATTATTTACAAAAAAAAATGATAATATTAAGTTCTTGAATGTTGATAAAATATTACGAAATACTAACATATTAAGTTTAATATTCAAAACAATCATAATTGTTGCAAAAAATTATCATTTAAGGCTAACAATTTTGGGATTAAATGACTAAAAGTATACTTTTTAAAGTTAAGAGACCAAACTAAAACTTTACGTAAAGTTAAAGAACTAAATGTATACTTTAGGCTTAAGTATAAAATGCATAGAATCCCTTAACGACAGGGAGGTCCAGTACTGGAAACAGTAGCAAGCGCTGTCGTTTTACCCCCCCCCCCCCCCAAAAAAAAAAGCCCCCCTCTAATTAGCTGAGCCGGAAATGCTGCTGTTGTTTTGGTTCGCAGTTGTCGCGGCGGAGAGCAAAATGGCGGACTCTGCGGCGGAGGGAGCCCCGGAAGCGCCCATAAACTCCGGTCCGAACCAAACTGACCATAGCGAAGAATGGGAAACCATGGCTCGAGCTTGGCTTTCTTCTTTCCCTGAGGCTGAAGAAGTCACCATGGCCGAGGTCGAAGCCTGGATCGACTCCAACCATGATTCTTTACCCGAGGGCCTCAAATCCATGCCTCGTTCTGATCTCTGTCACAGGCTTATTTCCATTCAAAATTGCATGAGATTCCCCCCTCAGGTGCTGCTTTCTACTTGCTTCCCCTTCCCTTTGCGGTGTTCCAGCTTCGAATTGCGCTCGTTATTAAATTTTCAATCCATTTGCGTGCTTGAGTTTTTTTGTAACATCCTCAGTAGTATGCTATTACCGTATTCTGTTTCTCGTCATTTTTGTGGCCAGGTCAGCCCATGGAGAATTGGAGAGTTAGTGAGTAAGAAATATTAAGGGAGTGTTTGGATAGAAACCAAACCATGGGTTCAGAAGTGCTTTTACGGATTACGAAGTAAATATGTGGAGGAGGTTACCTCGTTTTGCGGAAAAGTGCTTTTGAAACCAAGGTTTTGGAACATCCAAACAGGCCCTAAATGTGGTTTCTGTCGCATTTTGGATGTGCTTGTGGGTGACACGTGCAATTAATGTTAATCCTGTGATTAACGTTAAATTTTAAATTGGAGCTTTTTCTTAGGTGCCAGATAGGCGCAATATCCTGAAAATATAAACACATTAGAGGATTCTCTAGACTACAAGAATGGGATAACCCTCATGTGAACTTTCTTCCTTTCCCTGGCTGATGTTACTTTAGTTCAATTTGTGTCTTTCCCGGTTCCGCTACCAAATCTTGGAATAAGTTGACATGTTACAGCTTTTTAGGAGGTTCTTATATGCAATAATGTGGTAAGTAATAGTCATGCTTAACCTGGTTCCACTTGTAGAAATTCTACGTTCAGAAGACTAGAGATGAGAATAATCTTGCTTGATAAATGGGAAAACCGGAGTTGAAGGTTTCCATTTAGCAGTATCACTTTTTAATTGATGGTGATCAACGGAGATTGTATTGGTGCCTTTGAATTTATGAGGGAAAGACTAACTTATGAAGATTACAACTTAAGAAACATTTGTCTTGTCCCACAAATTAGAGTTTTTCTTTCCCTTTCTGTGTGCAAAATAGAGTAAGTGGATAACAAGGTCCATGGATATAGGCATGGTCTGTAAAAACTAGGACCTTCTGTGCGTGCATTTTTGTTTAATTATATGCAATTATGCATATTATTTTATGACAACAGAAGATTGTTTGGATATAAAGACATTATCTAACTTTTTAAGAATGGTTGGTCTTGTAAGACGAGGTTATTTCAACAATAATAGAAGGAAACAAGGTGCCTATAAAGCACCTTATGCAGTTATTCTTCATTTAAGAATATGGGCTTTTTCATTGTTTTCTGGTCATATATATTTAACATTCTTCATACCATGGTGGAAAATTTTGAATAAATGCATAAACAATAAAAAGGTACCTATTAATTATTAACACCTGACACTTTCTTGTCGTTCAATGTGGCAGGAAAAGGAGGCAAATCAGCTTGATATTCCACATGCTCGATTTCAGCGCACAGATCAATGGATACCAGTTTATTCATGGTTGGAGACATTGGATAAGGATGAAGTGGTTAAGTCCAAAGAGATTTCTGATTGGCTAACTGAAAACCCTAAGGTCCAAGAGAAGTTGTGTTCAAGGCATTCTCGATATCATTTGATGCACTATATCAAAAAATGCCATTTAAAGATACTAAAGAGAAGGGAAAAGAAGAAGGTACCAAATTTTTTCCCCTTATCTTGCTAGTCCTCATGTTTTTCTTTTGGGGTCTTTGAATTTACAGTTCAATCTGTACCGTGAACATGCGGCGAACTTTTATGCCGTGGGTGTCTATATTCAATCTCAAACAAAGTACTCGTTATAGTTTTTGATTTATATATTTCACATCAGCATTAAAATGACTTAATCTTTGAAGACGTAAAATTGTTGATAACTGGGAATCTGCTTATACATTTAGAGTATCTTTTACTAATTGCATATTTGAACAGGTTTTAGATCAGCCTGACAAGGATGCTTCACTGAAGGTTCAGAAAGATGTGCCGATGAAACACTCGGCCCCACTTCCATGTATGTTTATTTGTCTTAACTTCTCATTGCATATCTTTCTTCAACAATTTAGAAAAGAATGTTCGCTTCACTTTCCATCCTATTGAACCTTATGCCCCCTATCACTGTAGTAATTGCCAAGCAAAAACTGGCACATTTTTTCGAAGTAACTTATCTGGCAGGATAATGCTGACACCTTATCTTTAAGGGAAGGGTAGAGAATAGAAGGGAGGGGATGATATTATTGAAACGGCAATATGCAGACACCCATAAATGTTATGAGTGTGCAATCAATTTGGTTCTTATTTCATAGTTGCAGTTTGGGCAGCTACCCTGTTTATTTGTGGTGATTATACCTGAGATCATTCCGTCTTGCCTTCTTAGCTGTCTTTCTCCCCCCTTGTGTGTGTGCATGTGCGTGTTTAAGCAAGCTTGTTCCGGTTTGGCCCCAAAAAAAAAAAGAAAAAAAAGCAGCTTGTTCTGGAATGTAGTTCTTTTGAGTTCATTTCTTTTGACTGGATTGGGAATATTGATTACAGTATATTTTTAGGATTGGGAATTTTGGGCGAAGCATATTTCCTTTCTTCCGGCCATCCCATTTCCATTTTTAGTTCCTTTGCAGGCATAAGCTGTTCTTCTGAGTTTTGGATATCATATGTCTAATCCCGTTGCTGAGCCTGCGTTATCTTCAAAATGAGCGTCTTTTGAACTACGCAGGTGTTACGGGAAATAGTTTAACTAAATTCTGTTAATTATGCTTAATTTTTGAAGAAAAAGTACAGCGTAATTCTGTAGTCCTATACCTTTTAATGGCTAAGCTTTCTCACCGTTAAGTCTGACGTGTTATTGATCCTCTACTTATGTTGCAGGTAGTTCATTAAACAATATTCCCAAAGATAGCGACTTGTACATTACCAAAAGAAATGAAGCTTATCGCAAATATGAGATGTAAGTCAACTTGTGGGTCCTTTCTCTTCAGCTTGCATCTTAGAGGAAATTTCTTTGTTAAACCCAATCTGAAAATTGAGACTCACGTCTTATACTTCGTGTTTTTATCTTTTGAACAATTGGTTTGGTCTGTTTCTCTTTTGCGCACAAGATCTGGCAAAACAACCCATAACATCATTATAAAGTAATAAATCTTTATCTTGACGGGTTTTCAGTTTAGTGGAGTTGGAGAAGCTGCTTTCCCCAACAATCTCTAAGCTTTCTGAGACAAAGTGAAGCAGACAGAGAAACTTAAAACCATTGACGTTCGAAGGCAAATCCTCCAGCTGCTTCGCTCTCTCTGCATCATTTTGACGGAAACAACGTTGCCTCTTCAGAGTGCTTACTGATCATCACATCAGCCGCCGCATTGTTCATAGAATCATAGTCATAATGAGCATTGCTTTAAGCTTTTATTATGTCTTCAATCATAGCTATTTAGATTTGGAAAGAGTTCAGGCTTAATATTTAGGTTTTGATTATTGAAGTGTTTTCTTTTTCTTTTTTTTTCCCAAAAAGCATAAGAGTGACAAGTATACAGTGTTTAAAATTTTTTTTTTTTAATTTCCTCTAAATGATTTTAGTCATTAAAAAAATCTCAATTCATAGATATATATGTTTAATATACAATATATAAAAAGACAAATTATTCATAATTCATAAATTATAAATAATGCAGTTTACTTTAAATTTTATGTTTGTAAGGCAACTCATTAGTCTCAACTATTAATTATTTTTAAAAATAAAAATTAGAATGTCATTAGTATATTAATAATGAGTCTGACATCTCCGTACCTCAAGCTCGACATATATGTCGCATGACAAGGGGAAAATGATTAAAAAATAAACTGAAAAACTGCTGAATCTTAAATCAGATTTTTTTCCCCTCGATATTTTAACAAGAAGTCAAATAACAATGAATCCGTAATTTGGGATTATGTAATTTTCATGTTTTTTCTTTTTCTCCATTCTCCCCATAATAAAAAGGTTCTTTGTGCATCATCAGATGGTTTGTATTTGTTCATCCATTTTCACATAATTTTAATAGTAATATTTTGTTGTCTGAACGTATAAGCCACATTTGAGTTGTGGATTAAAAGAAATTTTGGACCTATCATCAACGGGAAAATTGAGAATAAATCTTTCATTATAAATTTAATTAGTAAATGGTTCTTAAGATGATTGATTACATAAGAAAAGATTAGTTACACACAAAGAAAAGTAAGTTGCACGAAAAGAAAATGGTTTGCACAAAATATTATTTTGATATAAGAAATTAGTATGTATATAGGGAAGATAACTTACATATAAGAGAATTTTATTTGCATAAAGATAAATTGAGTTGCATATCGTACAAAGAAAAATTATTGCATATAAAGAAAGATAAATTGCACGCAAAAAAAAGTTAAGTTGTACAAAGTCTTTAAGTTCCATTTACTAATTAATTTTTTAATGAGAAATTTATCCCCAATTTTCCTATCATCAACTGTATAAGCTTATAGTACATGCATATATTCGATGTGGACATTCATATCAATTTTCATTACTTTACACGTAATCAGTATATATAATTGCATTTCATCAAAAAAAAAAAGTATATATAATTGCAGAACAAATTAACGTGTTTGTGAGTGACTGTTATATTTATCATGTACAACGTAAATTGAATTAAAATAAACTGAACCTAACACCTTTCTTTCTTTGAGATTCGGCTGATTCAAGCAAAACAGATAAATTCTTCATGGGGTTCTAGGAAAGTTCTTAAATTTCCCCTGCCATGTTTTTGCCGAAGCCCTGCCTTCAATTATGAATGCCTTCAAGATTCAACGTAAATTCGAAAGTATTCCTGTTAGAAGAGTTTTAACTTTAAATATTTTCGGCTTGACAAGGATTAGATTCAAATCCAAAGTGACTTGAATTACTCAAAAAATATATATTCATAAAAATTGATGATAAGTTTTAGTTATTGAAAATGATTAATTTTTTTAAAAATCTGTTCATATTTAAACTTTTCAACATTATAAAATAAGTCCGCCATTAAATTAGACAATATTAATACCCTTTGATATGTATAGCATGTTTATTTGAAAGACGAAATGTAAAAACCAAACTATTTGGGTAATTTCGACAGAGATTAAATTTACAATAATTTGATGAATATAATTTGATATGGACATTCATATCAATTTTCATTACTTTGCACATAAGCATTAAGCAGCACTATATAATTGGTAATTACAGAACAAACGTTTGTGAACAACAGAGTCACTAGGAAGGACGACTTATATATATATATATATATATATATATATATATATATATATTCTTTTGCTTGTGTCAGAAAACTCGGCAAAACTTGATTTGTTTAATTGAAAAGAAATGTTTTAATCAATAAAATCTGCCTAATTAGCCAGCCAAACATTGAATGAAGAGCCTCCCGTCGTGGGAATGCGAATAATATAAGCCACAATCACTGCTAGACAGATGTTGACTATGTAATGTGTGTGTTAAAAAAAAAAAGAGTAAGAGAGATGCGTTTTTATGAAATATGATTTATGTATATAAGTTGATATGATATTATATAATGGATTTTATTTTTCAATTGGACGCAAATAAAATAAAAGCAAAGTATTGCATAACCTTCGACTTCCTGTCATATGCTTGTCTTTTTTCTTTCCACTCCATACTTTCTTTATATATATATATATATATATATATATATATAAAAGAACTGGCATGGTGACACATTTTTTTATGCATTGAAAGAGCCTCTTCTTCACATAAAATAGTTTGAAAGTGGATCTTTCATTTATATGCTTTCATTTTGGTCAAAGCAATTGTCTAAGCTTTTTGATAAGATTAATAATATGAGCTCAACCGAAGACTGGCAATGCATTATTCAAACACAAGAGGTGGCAGATTCAATAATTGAGGCATCTCTAATCATATATTATTCATGTTCATGCACGGACCACATTACAAATGGCTCCAACTTGAAGTCAAATGCTAAAACTTGAACTTTGATGTTTCACAGTGCACTCACAATGAGCTGCTTGAAATTTGCATTGATGATTCTATTGTCAGCTTATTTGGCATCGGCTCATTCCACTGGGCATGCAGGAGATGGAGTGCAGGCTCTGTCCAAGATTGCTATTCACAGAGCCACTTTTGAGCTTCACCATAATGCCTCCATTAAAGCCCATCCTCTTCTCCTAGGCATCAAGGTCACTTCTCCATCCTTACCATTGAAACTTGATTTGAAACCATGATTTAGCACAAATAAATCTGTTACTGTTCTGAAACTTACAAGTTTGGATTGATGAAGGAGATGATAATGATGCTGGGCAAGTTTCTGTGTTGTTGCTGTAAAAATGCAGGGGAAGGATTCTGAGTGGATCACTGTGGAACTTCAGAGTCCTAGTCCCAGTGAAGATGACTGGGTTGCTGTGTTTTCTCCAGCAAATTTCAAGTAATGTCTGTTTGATTCGGTTTTTCTTAATTGGAATTATCTCAGAGTTTTGGGAATGTAAATGGGTTTGGTTCTCTGTGAAATGGGCAGCTCATCATTTTGTCCAGATGATGATAAGTCAGAAAACTCAAGACAAGTGGCACCCTTTATATGCTCCGCTCCTATAAAGGTAACAACGTCATGTTCTGATTTCGGTACCTCTTAAAATAATCATTTTTCTCTTCTTCTATGTGTCAAAAGTCTTGGCACATATTTAACTGGTACAGAGCAGAAGTGCCGTTTTTGAGCTAATTCAAACGGGCACAAAGTGAAACAGTTCAACAACTTGAAAAACTCAAACTTGTCTTTCTGTTTATTCTCAATTTTGCAGTATAAGTTCGCCAACGAATCCAATGAGGACTACACCAAGACAGGCCAAGCATCTCTCAGATTTCTGCTGATCAATCAGCGATCAGATTTCTCATTTGCATTATTCTCAGGAGGATTGTCAAATGTGTGTTCATCTGTTTTGTGGCATTCCTTCGTTTACATAACAAAATTTTGAAGATATTAATGAAAAATGTGTTAAATGCAGCCAAAGTTGGTGGCAATTTCAAATACAATCACCTTTGTGAATCCAAAGGCTCCACTCTATCCACGCCTTTCTCAGGGTAAAGCTTGGGACGAAGTAAGTTTCTGCACATCAATAATATATCATTATGCTAAACTACTCTCAAAAAGATGTTATTTTGAGTTAGTTAAAGGTTCAAATTTTCTAGAATTCTCTTAGGAAGTTCAAAGTAGCAGCTATATGACTTATGCAGAGATTGTGGCACCGATCTCTTGGATTTTTATTCAGGAACTAACTAAGCTTGTTCCTTAATATGGGTTTCTGATAAGAAAGATGCATAATTGTAGATGACAGTTACGTGGACAAGCGGCTATAACATTGACGAAGCTGTGCCTTTTGTGGAGTGGGGCCTTAAGGGAGCATCACAAACGCAATCACCAGCTTCAACCTTGACTTTTAATAGAGGCAGTATGTGTGGTATGTGTAGTTTCCCATGGTTCTCCACATGGATTTGGATTGTTCAAATTAACAAAACCCTCAAAATTTTCTCAAAATGACCATCACTTTTAAGCCTTAAGCCTTAAATTGGGAAAATTCTCAAACCTTCTATAGTTAATGAAAGGAGGAGAGGATTCTCTTCGAGTACAGAGAAGGATGATCCATGTAGAGAGAGAAGTGGAGGAAAAATTTAGTGGACCCTACATGTTAGGTGGGACCTCTTTTTAGGCACTCCAGACTTGAGACTTTATCTCGTCATTTATCTTCCACTGGCTCAATTTGAAGACTTTTCATAAAATCCTAGAACTTTATTAGCATCTGGAAAGTACTGAAAAGGAAAATCAGAAGAGAATCCAAACACTCCACACGGCTAACATATTTTTGGCTATGAAATCCCTTTTTTGGTTTTCATAAGTCATCAAACAAGACCTATAACATGGAGTTAATGTTCCCAATGTGCATTGTAAATAACCAATTGTTCTTGCACATGCGCAGGTCCACCAGCACGAACTGTTGGATGGCGTCATCCTGGTTTTTTCCATACCAGTTTCTTGAAAGATTTATGGCCAAACTCATTGTATGCACATTAACCATTTGATTTTACGCCTAAAACAAAAGGGCATAAAAAATGATCAACTTTTTGAAAAATTTGATGATTCTTGTCATTTCAGGTACACTTACAAGTTAGGCCATAGATTGTTCAATGGCTCATATGTCTGGAGTAAAACATACCAATTCAAGTCTTTCCCATCTCCAGGACAGGACTCATTGCAACGTGTTATAATATTCGGCGACATGGGAAAGGTAACAATTGTAATTGCTTATATGTTTCAAGTGATCTTCTTCTCTTTCTTATTGATGAAAACTACTTAGTGCAGTGTTCTTAATCTATATCCACTCAACAAAAATATTTCAGGCTGAGCGTGATGGATCCAATGAGTATAATAATTATCAGCCAGGCTCTCTGAATACCACAGATCAACTCATCAAAGACTTAGACAACATTGATATAGTTTTCCACATTGGAGACATCACTTATGCCAACGGATATATCTCCCAGTGGGACCAATTTACCTCACAAGTGGAACCCATAGCATCAAGAGTGCCTTATATGATTGCAAGGTGTGTTTAGTTACAATCTGCATGCAATATTTGTGTTTTTTGGATTACTTCACACTCACTTGGAGTACTACTTCTTACAGTGGCAATCATGAACGTGATGTTCCTGGGACTGGTTCCTTTTACGACACGAATGATTCAGGTGGAGAGTGTGGTGTACTAGCTGAGACCATGTTTTATGTTCCAGCTGAAAACCGAGCTAAATTCTGGTAAACATTAGACGTGATTCTGGGAATATCAGTTCTTGAAATAAAAAACAAGAATGGTTCATTTATTTTCAACTTTGTTCTTATTTGCATCAACATAGTTTTCTATAAAGAGTGGCAATGAATTGTTTTAGCTGAATACTATGTATTGCTTTTTCGCAGGTATGGGACAGATTTTGGAATGTTCCACTTCTGTATAGCAGACAGTGAACATGATTGGAGGGAGGGAAGTGCTCAGTACAAGTTCATTGAGAATTGCCTTGCATCAGCAGACAGACAGAAACAGCCATGGTTGATTTTTGTTGCTCATCGTGTTCTTGGTTATTCCTCTGCTTACTTGGACCAAGGTTACTCTGGAGAACCTATGGGAAGAGATAGCTTACAAAAGCTCTGGCAGAAATATAAAGTAGACATTGCATTTTATGGTCACATCCACAACTACGAAAGAACTTGCCCCATTTATCAGGTACCCTTTGATAAAGAGAGTTTCGTGTCTCTCGTATTTTGCTTGCAGTCACAATATACGTCGTAAATTAATACATTGTATAAGGGTTTTCCGGGGCTTTTATCCACACTCTTGTTCATTTAGTGGCAGTTGAAGAGGAAATGACATGCAAATGGTGAATTAAGATGAAATGAGTTTTCTTTTATATATATATATATATATATATATATATATATATGACTATCTGATTGGGTTAAATTTGAGAATTATTAGGTCTAATTAGATATAATTTTTATAAAAACGCTTTTTACATTTACAAAAACTCAAATTTGAGATTTCATATTTAAGTGACCAAAGTCCTTTCTACCAGGATCAACACCTGTTAGTGAAATAAGTTTTCTTTATGTCTATTTCTCTTCAATTGTATTTGGTGTGTTATATGGAATGGAAAGGATCATATTTCCTTTTATATGAGTGATCTATAGGCATAATCTGTTTCAAGAAATCAATGAAGACACACTAAAATGAGTGTTACAGGTGGTAAAATCCATGGATATCTACACTGCTTTTTGAGCTTTTATTGATATTTTCCTAATATGTAATGCAGAGTCAGTGTGTTAACTCAGAGAAGCATTACTATTCAGGAATAGTAAATGGAACAAACCATGTGGTGGTGGGTGGTGGAGGGAGCCACTTGTCAGAGTTCGGAGCAGGGAAGCCTGGGTGGAGTATTTTCAGAGATTCTGACTTTGGTTTTGTTAAAATGACAGCGTTTAATCACTCAACTCTTCTGTTTGAGTACAAGAAGAGCAGTGATGGGAAGGTCTATGATTCCTTCACAATCTCAAGGGACTATAGGGATGTCTTGGCCTGTGTTCAGGACGGTTGTGAACCCATTACTCTGGCCGCTTGAAATTCATTCGCAAAAAAACAAAACTACAAGAAAGTGCTTGTTTTGATTAATAAATTACACGTTGGTGCATGCTTGTTGGTTAGTACTTGAGAAAATAAGTATGGAATTAATAGGGATTGGGTTTTACAGAAATGGCTAGTCTCTCACACCACGGTTAACTAAGATTTGAATCCCCATTAAGAAATGGAAGAGGAATGCCTCCACTAGTTCCTCTTTCCACTTAATGTTTCCATCATTGGATCAAACTTCAACGGTTATGATTTATTTTATAAGGAAATTATTAAAATATTAAATATTAACTAATAAAAAATACTCCTCCGGTTTTTAATGTAGGATCCAATTGTTGAGTTGGTTTTGGTTCTAAATATAAGAACCATTTCTCATATTTATCAATTTTCTCTAAATTACCCCTATAGATACTCCCTCAACCATAGTCAAGTAGAAGAGGGAGAGAAGGTATTAAGAAAGATGATTATGGTATTTTAGGAAAAACATGTCATATTTCTTATAATTAACTAACTTATCTAACTTTCTTAATCTAATCAAATTAGTTAAATGGGTCTTATATTAAGGATCGGAGGAGTATATAAATAAATTTATATTGTTAAGGGTTAAAATTTGATATAAGTAGTTTAATATCATAAATTTTTATTATATTTAATATTATAATAATATTTTTACCGAATTTTAAATCTCAGCCACTAGAAGTTAATCTAATGATGGAGAAATTAAGTGAAAAGAAAAGTTAGTGGAGACATTCTTCTCCCCTAAAAAATGTGAATACATTTAATGTTTGACAATGTTTCGAACATGATTATGTTTCATAAGAGGATACATGTACCTTGTGGACAAAAAAAGGAAGCATGGAAATTCTTGCCCAATTGAAATGCCTGCACAATCATTCTACAGCTAAAAATAAAAGCACATAAATTGTGTCATAGTACTGGTAAATTGTTAGTAGATCGTATATTTATCCATCATTAAATAGTCCCTAGCTTTATCAACTTTGCCTAGATGTCTACAAGTTGTCAAACACACCGACGGAACTTACGTAATCTGGCTTTAAACTTGAGGAAGATTCAAGTTCAAAGAAGAACTCAACTGCTTCTCTTTCAAGACCATTCATGGCTAGCCCTATAATAATGGAGCTCCTGCCAACATGATAACCCTTTCCTAGGACACTCCTCAAACATGTGGAGAGAGCATTTTCAATAGATCCACATTAGCAATATATGTCAATTATTGCTGTCACAACATTAACGTTAAACTCAAAGTCATTCTTATACAATCATGAATCCATTTCCCTTGTTGAAGTAAGCCCATGAGCACAAGCATTCAACAAGCTTACCATTATAAACTCACGAGGCTCAACCCCTTCTTCCTGCATCCTGTGAAAAAGCTCTAATAATGTCTCCATTAGTTTCCTGTTTCTTACAGACCCGCTAATCATAGAATTCCATGTGACAGGAGCTCTTGTAAGCATTTCATCAAACAGGTTCTTGGCCTCTTCAATTTCCCTGCATTTAGAAAGACCTATGATCAATGAGTTCCAAATTATAACATCAAATTCAAAGAGACCATCAAACACTCTCCTCGCTTCACTCAAGAGCCCACTATTCGCATACATATATACCAGTCAACTATGAATAAATCCATCATTTTCAAGAGCCAATTTCAAAACTCTCTCCCATGAAGATGAGCTCCTTCATGTCCAAGCCCCACCTGAGCAAGTAATAAAAAGCGACATTCAAGTTTAATCTCTAAGTACAACATTTTAACGAAATGAATAATATACTAATTAGATAAAACAACAGGGCACATCGAACTATCATTCATAAAAGGACCAAGACAGAGGAGAGCAACGTTAAAGGAAGTTTTCAACGTTGCGGAAGAAGCATGGTACCATACCTGAATTGAACTCAAAGTAAAGAAAGCCTCTCTTTTTTGCATAACTTCGTAGTTCTATCAAATGGAACCACCAAAGCCGCTGCCCTTGCCCACTAAATTGTATACACGAAGACCCACTAAATGGTACAAATTAAATTTCAGTTGAAAAATCAGCTAAATTAATCAGTCAAAGGGAGAGAGAGTATAGATTGAGGCCTCACCAATTGAGGATTGAAAAGGGAGGAAGGAGAGATTGGGGACTAGAAATGTTGGGGGAGTGAGGAAGCAGCAATGAGGGAGAGAGGAGTAAGGATACGAGGGTGCTGGGGACATCAATGAAGTGAGGAGATGGCGAGCACTGAGACTAGAGAACGGGCCATGAACACTGAAGGATGAATCTTCAAGCCGTCAAGCAAAGAAAAGTGTTCGATCAAGAAGAAAGGCCGTGCCCCATTTTTTGAAACAAGAAATTAGGAAGTTCAGAACAAAAAATTAAAAAATTGTCTTCTGTTTTTAGTTTTTCAAAACAAATTTTTTACTTTTTCATTTTTAAAAACAGTAGACTAAAAATAACTTGCCAAACAAGATTTTTTATGCTGTTGTTTTTAAAAACAAAAAACTGTTTTCAAAATAGGTAAACAAACAGGTTCAATATTTCTATGAATATATCATTCAATATAAAATGAAAAGTTCAGAACAGTTTGTATTATACACAACCTGCTAAGTCACAAACGATGCTCACAATTTATATAATAATATGCGTTTAGCATTTACAAGGGAAATTGGTATTTACCGCAAAAGGCAGATGTGGCAAGAAGAACAAGAAAGAGAGTTGATGTGAAAGAAAATGTTCCCATGATTTCTCTGTTCTGATCTGAGAATTTGTGAAGACACCACGTCAAGAGAATTGTTTGGTCTTCTTGTTCACTAGAGCTCATCTCTTAAATACAAGTGAATTATGGATAAAGATTTGGATTTGGTATTGGTAATATTTTCTAATTGAAGAGATAAATCATAGTATTTAATGAATTGGATTTTTGTTGTTGTTGTGAATGATCGATGCATTAGATTTTTTTAATAATTCGGAAACTACGTAAATGTTATCATATTCACTGGATGTTCCTGATCTCCTAAAATTCAAGGAATCTAATTATGACTTCCATGCATCACTTTATCCATTGAAGAAATCAAGGATATGATGAACGGAGCCAAATTGCAACAAAAAATAGACGGACAATGAATATTTGATTTTGAGAAATGCACGTCATTATGTTGGTATGGATACGATGTAACTGATGCGTTGGTATTTAGACCCGTCCCTAATACTTGTCATATATATTACTCAATGCAAATGAGAAACAAGGCTCCCTATTTATCCTCTCTTAAAAGTTTTCTTTGGATCTTATCATGTTATTCTCATGTTCACTAGTTTTATAATGAAATTTATAACATTAAATAATTTATTCTCGCTTATTTCTAAATGATTTTTTTTTGGTCGTACAAAAGAATTATTTTGGGGTGGCCTTCGACTTCTATGTTCATCTGGAAAAATTACAAATGAGAACACCTTAAGAAAAGGACAACGTGCGCGGATGATTTGTGCCAACCGATTAGTGGGCAAAGGCAAACCCAGAACATTTAATCGATCTTATGATACCAAATACTTTAAGTGAACTTTCAAAGAACCAAAAATAATTGGGATTCGCATTGAAAGGGGCCGCGCGAACGCAGGCCCCAACTGCCACAAATTATGACGTAGGCTCCACCGCTTAGGTAGACCTTAGGCTTGCACCCCTCCGAAGTGCAATGGAGGTCACACGCCTAGGCCATGGGCCTTGATGATCGCCCATTGACCCCGTCCAGGTAAGTATGTTGCAACGGTGCCCCTTTCCTTCTTTTTATACTATCTCTCCCTCGCCCCCACTTCCAATCTTTCCAATGTGGGACTCTCACCACGTCGATGAATGTGTGTGTGTGCGTGTAGAGAGAGAGAGGGTAGTATGGAGGTTGACCTTTCATTTCAGAAGCTTGAGTACCTGAGAATTGTCAGAATACTTTCAAGACATGGCAAGGAATTTTACAAATCTCACTAGGAATATTATATACAAGTTTTCAAAATTTCAATGACTACCAAGAGATTTGAAGGGATCTAGAAAGTGACTCCGTCCTCCCTATCCTTCCCTTTCCTAGGCTTGTTGAAGCCGCGGCTTCATTTTCTCTCCATAGTGGAGGTTTCTGATGGCAACTTGGGGGTTTCGCTTGCTCATCCCTAAAGTTTTGTGGGGGCAAAAGGAGGATGGTGATCGTGGATCGATTCAATGGTACTGGAAGTTTGTACGCAAAGCTTATGGCAACTGAGATCTCAAGTCGATTGGCTAGAGCGTTGAAGTTTGTTCACCTGGGTGGACAGATGGGATTAAAGGAAGGTTTTTTAGGGAGCTCCGTGGTTCTGGAAAGTTCCTTGGCTTCTCTTTTCATGAATCTTGGTAGTTGGCCTCCAACCCCTTTGCTGCATGAGGGATTTTGTCTGGTTCTGCTAGGGTTGGGGGGACCTTCGGCAGAGTTTATGGAGTCTTGGTTGCCCCTGTTAGTTATTAGGAGTACACTTTTCTTCTTGTTTTGTGCTTGTGGGAGTCTTTTGGTTTATGTTTTTTCGTTTCTTTGTGGTTTGCTATCGTTAATGAAGGTTGGTATTGGCTGTATTTTACCAAGATCAGTGCGTCTCTTGAGGTTGTTCGCGATCTCAAGATGTTTTTTTACCTCTCTGTTTTTGGAGGAATATTTGGTGCTGTATTTGGTTTCGCAACCTTGGCACTAAAAAAAGTGAGCTCTTTAGAGCTTGTCTTTGAACAATCACCCTCTGCTGCTCAACAAAGCTTGTTCTATATTTTTTCTTTTGATCATGGCAGAATAAAAGCTGACCTATTCACCTTCATCCTTCAAGATGTAGGTTTCTTTTGGCCTTATTGGTTTGAGTCTATATTTGTCGTCCTTTTGCTAGTTATATGTTATTGGTCTTTAGTTCAGTCTCTGGTCTTTCAAAGTCTGCATTAGTGGTTGTATTTCTTTTCATATAATGAAATTTTCCTTCCCGTTGGCAAAAATAAAAAATAAAAATTGAAGGGATGTGGGAGAAATTTGGAAAACGTGTGAAATGATCTAAAACAATATACTACCTCTGGTCCTTGATATAAGTCTCGTTTGCCTTTTATTTTATTCCTAATTATAAAACCCCAATCCATTTT